ACCAGAAGCTGCGTTGGTTGGGACATGTGTTACGTATGCCGAACCATCGTTTGCCGAAGAGAGTGCTGTTTTCCATGCCCAATTCGGAGTGGCGTAAACAGAGAGGTGGCCAACCCTTGACTTGGCAGAGGATTATGAAGGAGATCACGAAACGCTTGGGTGCTGTCGGTGCTACTCGCCTTCCAGGGTGGGGACCGCGTGATCCTCACTGTGCCTGGTTGGAGACACTATAAGATATGGCTGCCAACCGATGTCAGTGGCGTTCTTGTTGTCAGTTTCTATCCGGATTGCCTGAGTGAATGTTTGGAGGTGTAGGCACCTCTGAATGATTGTGATAAGCTAGCACTAAGTCCCTCCCCCATCCACCGTTATTGTTTTCTTTACAATAAGGCTTTCAAATAAGTCATGGTTGTACGGCGGTGAAGCATCGGCGTTGAACACTGATGTCATGCTGTCGATGATGATGATGCTTTTGAACAAAGCTTTGGTTTTATGTACTTTCTTGAGTACAAGTTTAAACCGAACGTTTTATTGGCCACAGAGCTAGTGGTCCGTTCATGCAGTCGCTTTTTACCCAACAGGATGTCGAACTAATAGTATTACAAAGCTTACGAGTAGTTGGTTTGAAAATCAGGCCCAAGTTGCTGTTCATTAACTGGTTTGGCGTACCTTTAAAATTAGCATCCATGGGATGTCGTTGGTGTTGAGGGAGATAGCGCTATCGTTCGCGTGGAAAATCAACAACTGACAGGTTGAAAATGTTTATGGGAAGGCAGTGGACTAGACGTTTGTCACCATCGATGTATCAACAAGACCTAGTTACAGCACAAAGTGTAGCGAATGCAACATCTATCATCAGTGTGATAGTCATACCGGCGGAGTAGTAATCCTCAGAGATTAGAGTTTGTAGTGCGACATTTTGAAATCTGTAAGTTTGTGCGGAAGCGCAGCTTGCCGGTTACAGTATTTATTCGAGAAGAAGAATTATGTATATCACTGGAAACTGGTAAACTGTTTGCCAGGGGCAATCGTGGATGGTTTTTGAAGTTTTTGTATTCATTGCCATCTAATTTCAGTAAACTTCGTTTCTGATACCATAAAGGAGTGTCTTGTTCTTCTCTCCAAGGGCCTATGCGTTTCGGAATAGAGTGGTAATGCCACCCTATGTTTATCCGATACTTTTTTTGATAGTGTCTTCTACTACTTACTACTGGTGCACTGTTATCTATGCTGCAGCTTATCAGCGATGTCACTTTTACGTCGACACTGCCAAATCCGTAATCATGAATAAGCCTGGATGCGATCATGCTTTGACGTTGAAATTTTCGTAATTTCGCGCATTGACCACTGAGCTATCTCAAGCTAGATCTGTTGTACGTTGCTTGACTGGTCGCCAGTGGTTTTCAGTGTTCGGTGGTAGACGACTTATTCCGTCATGTACAGAGAAATCACCGCCCTCATCTACTCCCTCCCTTCTACTGCTCGAAATAGGTTCGCAATTTAAGGCAACGTCCACAACAGAATAGCCGAATTAAGAAATGCCGTCAACCACGTTTCATTACTGTTGTTGTACTCTCTTTTTTCTACTGACAGTAAAGTCTGCTTTGTCCTGTGATTTCGTTATGCGCTGTGATACAAATCATGATCTCTCTCGTGAGGGTTTTGTTACTGGCCCTTGTTGGCCACTTGTCGTTAATGGCTATCATCGGTACACTTATTAAATAGACCACTGACAGTCTAGCAGTATAAGACGCTTTGTCAACAACTCAAGAATTCGTTCTGCACGAATATTAGCAGGTCACTGACCCTCAGAAAAATATTCAGGTGGTACTGAGTGTGGTACTTAGTTGGTATTTGGTATATGCCACGTGTTTCATACTCGAGTCTGCTAGGACTCAATGTCTTGGACCATGTATGCGCTCAGCCCCTATTTTGAAACATACTACTGGCACGACTCACTGAAAAACCGTCGCCAACCCCAGTTTATGTCTCATACACGTTATGTTCAGTGGGGTTCCATTAAGTTGGTTTGCAATGCTAGAGTATTTCCGGGGACCTGTTTGTGGCGTTTTTAGCTTCACTTCTTCCATTCGCTGCTGCATACCAAATCCTCATTGGAGCGCCACCATATTTAAACTTCTTTGTCTAATATTTACAGGCACCCATGGATGACTGCCAACTACCGTGTTCCACTGACTTTATTATTGGCGGAAAATGGCGATTAGTTCGCAAGATTGGTAGTGGTGCTTTCGGTGCAATTTTTCTCGGGGTTAATATCAAGACCTCAGAAGAAGTTGCAGTCAAGTTAGAACGCGTCAATGCCAGGCATCCACAGCTCTATTTTGAGAGCCGTGTATATAAAGTATTACAGGTAACTGAACTGCCAAGCTGTATGAAAAATGACTTCTTTCAGGGCACCTCAGGAATACCTCACATTTACTACTACGGCCTAGATGGTGTTCGTGATATGTATCATGCCCTCATAATGGACCTTCTTGGACCAAGTCTAGAGGACTTGTTTAGCTTTTGCGGTCGCCGATTTACCATGAAGACCGTTCTCATGTTAGCTGACCAAATGTTGTGGCGCTTGGATTTCTTGCATACCAAAAACTTCATTCACCGGGATATAAAACCAGACAATTTCCTAATGGGGATTGGGAGAAACTGTAACAAAGTCTTTTTGTGCGACTTCGGTCTGGCGAAGAAATTTCGGTGAGTTTTCTACCTGTTCGCCCTTTGTTTCGAAGTAGATCTGATAGATATATCTTTTCTCTATCTCCGTTTGTGCCGTAACCTACGCAACCGATGCACCCTTTCGGATACCTATTTTTCTGTCTATGCAAACTTTTATTTTAATTAGTTTTCCGTAATAAAGGTCTGTCTGTTTTAGGCGAAGTGGAGATTCCCCACTTCGGGTGCTGCATGGCGCCCTCCGCTAGATGTCCAAGATATGCGTCGGAAAAAGTATTCGATTCAAATTTCTCGTGATTATAGTTACCTGATTGACTGGATAACGCCACTCTTTTGACTTTACAAGAATACCTAAAGCTCTGTTGCGTCCCCTCATGCTTCACTGAATTTGAGTAATATCTGAGACTAGGTTGTTAACTGCATGTTATTTCCAGCCACTTCTCACTTCTCGATTGGTTTCTGCTAGGATTGTCTCATATATATTAAGTGAGCTCTCAAATCGCAACCATGTACCGAAAGGCTACTGTGGGTTGACAGTTCCACTCAGCCATGTTGATGAACTGTTTTGGGATATAATTAAGGCCGATTTGTGTAAGGAAGATAGTGCATACCAACCCTTTCGTTTGGTGTTATGATGTTAGGTCGCCATTTTCTCGCTGTGTTTCGAACAAGATCGGCAGTGTTGTGTGCCTCGATGTTCGCTACCAACGTTCATTTCACTTCAGTTTTTGACAACCGGGAACGGTTTGCCTACGTGGGGTTGTTTGTATCGTCGCAGTTGACAGCAGCAGGTAATTCAGGATGGAAAGATTACAGAAAACACTTAGAACAAAAGGAACAGCAGGTTGAAAAATGAAATACACGAGAACAGATATACCACCGTCACTGGTTGCATGAAATCACCATGTCGGTGAGTACCTCCAACTCATTGTGATGGGTCTTTGAGGCAGACGACATGCAGCAGTACAATCGACACCCTTTGTTATTCTCCTGTGGTGCGTTCTCAAGTCGTGAGCTGTCCATGTTTCACTACGAAACCTTCATTATGAACCTTTTTCAGCCAACGGAGGACGGCCAGGAAGTAGGTTACCTGGCGTACGGAGCCTGTAGCCAAGCCATTATGGTCGGTGCAACCGAATGAGCTCATCAGTTGGATAAGCAACTGTTTTGCTGCCAAAAACCATTCGTCGCACCTCAGAATTGGTAATTCGATATTCTCATGTTACATGTACAATGTTTCGGACAGTGCCAGTCTGATGAGGTGAATCCTAACCGAATGAGTCAGTTGGATAAGCAACTGTTTTGCTGCCAAAAACCATTCGTCGCACCTCAGAATTGGTAATTCGATATTCTCATGTTACTTACACAATGTTTCGGACAGTGCCAGTCTGATGAGGTGAATCCTAAAGTATGTAAAGATTTTGGTATGGGAACACGCGTCTAAAGACCAACAACCAAAGAAAGGACAAACAATGGTGAATGCTCTTCAAGGCACAGTGTGCGCTAGCACAGTCAAGACTCGCACATCAGGCACAAGGTGTCCGTCATGCTGGGTCTGGTGTGAGATTGAATGGCAAAAATGTACCTTCAACGCCATATGCCACGCATAAAAGTGTCATAAGTACGCAGAGAGCCCACAATGGCAAGCAAACACCAGTCACTGACTGCGACCTTAGGAAGTCCCAGTCCAATAACAGCCTTAGCGGATTGAGGAAAGCAGATCCCTCGATAAGAAATGATCATCGGTTGGTGAACCAAAAAGTCGATGTCACAACCGATGGCATGTAGGGCTGAGATTATGGCGA